TAAAATCACTTCATATCTTTCTTTCTACGAACTAACTCTTTCATCCTGTACTATTTTCTTTATATGCAATCTTTCCTTTATATATTACCACCACTGAATTAACCACTTATGAATCCGATGTTCATCTTGTTGTGTTAATGAAGTAAGGCAACTTGGACCGATGCATATATGTGCCTGGTCCTACGTTGTAGCTAACTGACTGACTGACTACACAACCGACATGATGATTGTATACAGTTCCAGGAGCAAGAAAATAGTGTACATCCAATACATTGTTGGAGAGACAGTATCAAATTAGGGAGACGTACAATCGATTACAGAAACTCAGACTCCGATTAAGGACGTGGCGGATGTGGTGTTTGTATGAACTAATGATCGCTTTGATTTCGATGACTGCTTGGTTTTGAATTCCAAATACAATACGTTCGTTTGTGCTAATCTAATACTTGGTTAAATTGCGTTATTTCTGGGGTTCCTAGTTTGTACCATAATTTAAATACTTCTAATTATTACAAGAAATTAGCCGATCGACACCATCAAAGGCAAGTAGGAACATGAACATCTGGAGGTTATTAATTATAAATGGAAATATGTGATCAGGTTTGTTACGCGAGACAGAGAAGTTTATGTTTAAAATTCAGAAAAGCAAAATTGGGCGAGACTCTAATTTAGCGACGACCCAATCAGAAGCGTTTGAGCAATTTCAAGGTCATAGAGCCAAGTTCAACACGCGTTGCTAACATACGAGGAGGTGATTGATGAGAGGCTTCAACAGATGGGACGGCGAGACTCTAATTTAGGGACGAGCCAATCAGAAGCGTTTGAGTAATTTCAATTATTAGCCAATCAGAAGACAGTATAAAGTAAAAATATATTACAAGAAAGTAATGAATTACAGTGGATATTCTTTTACATGATTTAAAAACTTGTTAAGGTTTGATAAAGGCTCAGAAGTTCTGAATTCATAATCCATATGGTATAGAAACTCGTCCATAAGGTTAGGTTAGGGGTTAGGGTTTAAAGTTAGAGTTAGGGTGCTAACATGCGATCGGTTTACATGGGATTTTAGAGAAGAGGTGTTTATTGAGAGGCTACAACCCCAACCCTATGGACGAGTTTCTATACCATATGGATTATGAATTCAGAACCTCTGAACCTTTATCAAACCTTAACAAGTTTTTGAATCATGTAAAAGAAGAATATCCACTGTAATTCATTACTTAACTCCGCCTGTAGCTCTTCTAGAGTTACTGCCGGTCCCAAGGCCGGGTAAAGGAGGAGGGTTGGGCATGGGGTTAGCGTCCACATCCCGTAGAAAACTAACTCGGTAAAAAACGCTTACCAGAAAAAACTATTAAAACCATTTTAACTCTGCCCTGTGAGTTATAAGGTCTTCTTTTAGAAGAATTATGACGCTTCATGGTGAAAGCCGAGTTCCTTCGGAAGCCACGAGGCCGATGCCCCTTCTAACAACCAGAGCAAAAATTTTGTAGGTACATGGAACGTTCGAACAATGTGGGAGACCGGGAAAACCAGTCAAATAGCAACGGAAATGAGATACAATTTGGCAATACTAGGAATCAGCGAAACCCACTGGACCCAAACTGGACAGAAAAGGCTAGCTACGGGAGAGATGCTGCTATACCCCGGTCACGAAAAGGAAAATGCTCCACACACTCAGGGAGTCGCTCTAATGCTGTCCAAAGTAGCACGGAATGCACTTGTAGGATGGGAATCTCACGGATCCAGAATCATCAAAGCATCGTTCAAAACAAAGAAGGAGGGGATCACAATTAATATTATCCAATGTTATGCACCCACAAATGATAGCAACGACGACATTAAAGATCAATTCTACGAGCGGCTGCAGTCAATCATAGAGAAATGTCCAAGAAAGGACCTCACCATTCTAATGGGAGATCTAAATGCCAAAGTCGGAATAGACAACACCGGATATGAAGATATTATGGGACGACATGGATTGACTGGGAGAGAGAAACGAAAATGGAGAAAGATTTGCAAATCTATGTGCATTCAAGAAATTGGTCATAGGGGGCACAATATTTCCACACAAGCGTATACACAAGGCTACACGGATCTCACCGGACCACACTACAGCGAACCAGATGGATCATATTTGCATCAACAAAAAATTCCGAAGGACAATGGAAGATGTGAGAACCAGGAGAGGAGCTGACATAGCTTCAGATCACTACCTAGTTGTAGTCAATTTAAAACTGGACAAACAGCAATACAAAGGTTCACTACAGCCTTCCTTCGAGATACTGACAAACTCAATGAATTCAAGATAGCTCTCAACAACAGGTTCCAAGCCTTACAAGATCTACTGAAGGGAGAAACTACTATGGAGGACAACGGGAAAGGTATCAAAGAAGCATTAACTTCAACGTGTCAAGAGGTTCTGGACCTAAAGAAACACCATCATAAGGAGTGGATCTCTATAGAAACACTGGACAAGATCAAAGAAAGGAAGAACAAGAAGGCAGCAATTAACAACAGCCGAATACAAGCGGAGTAAGTCCAAGCACAAGCTGAATACACAGAAGCAAAAAACAAGTGAAGAGGAGCATTAGAGCCGACAAGAAGAAATACGTGGAAGAACTAGCAACGACGGCGGAAAAAGCTGCTAGAGAAGGAAATATGAAGCAGCTTCACGATACAACGAAGAAACTAGCAGGGAAATACAGTAAACCAGAGAGACCGGTCAAAGACAAAGAAGGCAAGCCAATCACCCAAATTCAACAACAGCGGAACAGATGGGTAGAGTACTTCGAGGAACTCCTGAATAAGCCGGCTCCAATGAATCCACCGGACATTGAAGCGGCACACACAGATCTTCCCATAGACGTCGACCCACCAACGAAGGAAGAAATCAGAATGGCCGTCAGATAAATCAAGAGCAGGAAAGCAGCGGGACCGGACAACATACCAGTTGAAGCACTGAAGTCAGACATCGAAGTGACTACAAACATGCTTTACCTTCTATTCAAAAAGATTTGGGAGGAGGAACAAGTGCCGATGGACTGGAAAGAAGGACACCTCATCAAGATTCCAAAGAAAGGAGATCTGAGCAAATGTGAAAACTACAGAGGCATTACACTACTGTCAATACCAGGGAAGGTCTTCAACAGAGTGTTGCTGGACCGGATGCAAGATATAGTAGACGCCCAACTTCGAGATCAACAAGCTGGATTCCATAAGGATCGATTATGCACAGACCAAATTGCAACACTACGGATCATCGTCGAACAATCAGTTGAGTGGAACTCGTCACCATATATCAACTTCATTGATTATGAAAAGGCATTTGACAGTGTAGATAGGAGGACGTTATGGAAACTTTTACGACACTACGGAGTTCCTGAGATTGTCAATATTATCCGGAACTCATACGACGGACTACAATGCAAAGTAGTGCATGGAGGACAGCTGACAGATGCATTCCAAGTAAGGACCGGAGTAAGACAAAGTTGTTTACTCTCTCCTTTCCTTTTTCTCCTGGTGATCGACTGGATTATGAGGACCTCGACATCTGAAGGAAAACACGGGATACAATGGACAGTTCAGAACCAATTAGACGATTTGGATGACCTAGCTGTCCTAAATCATACACATGAACAAATATAGATAAAGACAGCCAGTGTGGCAGCAGTCTCTGCATCAGTAGGCCTCAACATACACAAAGGGAAAACCAAGGTCCTCAAATACAACACGGAGAACACCAATTCAATCACACTAGACGGCGAAACTCCGGAAGATGTAGAATCCTTCACATATCTAGGAAGCATCATCGATGAACAAGGAGGCTCAGATGCAGACGTAAAGGCAAGGATTGGCAAAGCAAGAGTCGCATTCCTACAATTAAAGAACATATGGAACCCAAAACAACTTTCAACCAATATCAAAGTGAGAATCTTCAATACGAACGTCAAGGCAGTTCTACTGTACGGAGATGAAACTTGAAGAACTACTACAACCATCATCAAACATGTACAAGTATTTATAAATAGCTGTCTACGCAAGATACTCAACATCCATTGGCCGGATACCATCAACAACAGCCTTTTGTGGAAGAGAACAAACCAGCTTCCAGCTGAAGAGGAAATTAAGAAAAGACGATGGAAATGGATAGGACATTCATTACGCAAATCATCAAACTGCATCACGAGGCAAGCCCTAACTTGGAATCCTGAAGGGAAACGGAAAAGAGGAAGGTCTAAGAACACATTACGTCGGATAATAGAAGCAGATATGAAAAGGATGAATAGGAACTAGAAAGGATTGCCCAGGACAGGGTTGGATGGAGAATGCTGGTGAGCGGCCTATGCTCCTTTACGAGGAGTAACAGGCGTAAGTAAGTAATTCATTACTTACAATATATTTTCACTTTATATTGTCTTCTGATTGGCTAATAATTGTCAAAGTCATTTAAGATTCGTTCAAAGGTCGTCGCTAAATTAGAGTTTCGCCGAATCACGAATGTGGAGATATTTGTCAGATATGGTAAGATTATGTTGCACATAACTAAATGTGCACAAATCTTGATCTTTGTCGGGAGCTACACAAAGTAGTAACAAATACTGACTACTTGACGGGTCGATAATATTGGGCTACGTTATATACTATGTCAGATACCACTACAAAGTCAAACAGGAGCGAATATCAGGCTCGTTTTATTAGGCTAAGAGATGGTAGTTATCGGAAAACAACTTGTCTTACATTGAATGAGTCGAATTGCGACTATTTAGAAGTCCATAGGGATGAGAATACGTTTTTAATAAGGGATTTCCAATGTAATTACATTAAACAAAAAAGGGTTAACTATAATGACATGAAATAATTACATTTGGTTAACCAAAGGCTGACATCGATTTCGGACACCCAACCTGCAATAAGACCCTAAAAACATCTCAAGTCAAGAATTGGCCCATTTCTTTGTGACAACCCAAAAATTGTAAAAAACTGGAAAGTACGCCAACCTCTAAAGTTTCCACGACTATGTAACGCCACACTTAATGATTGCGCAGTAGCACCAGTACTTTGTTATGATCATAAAAACTTCGTTTATAGACAGTTCTCTGTAATATATTTCAACATGAAAACTTATTTAATTTGCACATATCCTTTATTAGACGAATGACTCTTTGTTTGTATTCACTAGCTTTACTTCCAGTATATTTGCGCTTGTAATTGTGGCTTATAATGAACCTCGTGTACATACCACCTCTGACTTAGTTCTCACTCAGCTAATGCAGAACCTGGAGTTTGATCAGATCCGTAGTCTACCTGCAGCCATTTTTCCAATCATCTGGTTACATTACGACACGCTCAAACGGAGTCGAAACAAGTGTTTCAATGATTCAGAGTTACCTCGCAGCTTAAAACAATTGAATATAACGTTTTCTTATTTAGTATAGCACTAAACAACTGATGGGTCAATTTCCTAGCCTTTACATTTCTACTGACCTTGATGGTCTTCTATTCCAGCAATCTCATTTTATTGTTAATCTACCTATTTCCAAAGTTGTCATTACTTTAATATGACCACTTTACACATTATTCTTTGGAACAAAATGTTCGTGGAAAGATACATTACGAAGGACGTATTTAAAAAGTTTACCCGTTAAGATACCACAGGTATTCGAAGTTCGAAAACTTTTCAAGTACCACTTTTGCAATCGAAGTATGACAACCAAGTCAAATCAGAAGTTAGAAATAAAGGGGATCAACGATATATTTAGAAAACTGTCAATATCTTGAGGGGCGTTCTGTATTAGCTGGTCGACTGTTCCAACGGATGCGTAACACGGCGTACCCACTCGTGATCTGGTGCGGATGAGTGACAAAGTGCCTTCAGTTAGACGTGTCCAGTAAAACAAACAAGGCCAGCTTCAATGTTGAAGACACAGAGAAATATTTATTTTGTGGATACATTCCCCGCTGCAGCCCACCCTTCCCTAGTGAGGTTGTCATGATCCTAAAACATGGCTAGCCAGAATTTTAGACCCAGCAAGCTTGTCGTCAGTGAACACTATCAATTTGCTATGTCCATCAGGATCTAGTCGTCTCTTCATATCGTAAGGAGTCATGTGGTACAATATGGTAATGAAAAACAAACACTGCAAAAACTTCAATCCTTGGTAATCTTCTTCGTTTACTCATCTTTACCATACGTCCTGGAAAGGAAAAAAAGTAATTGTAAGTAGATTTCAAAATTTCGCTCGTACGCATGTAAGGACGTAAAACGTGAGAAAAAAGAGGAATAAACTGATGAACATGCATGTCGTTAAAATGAGATAGTATTAAATCATTTTTGCACAACGATTTTTTTTCGGGAAAAAAACTATACACATATATATGAGAATACTAGGAAAAAATGTATGTTTTTGTTTTCCTTGAGATAAACATTTCATAAATCAGATAAAACAAAATGGTATGCAGTGTTCTGTGAGCAGTACTCGCTTAAGTATTCCTGAAATATTGTAATTCTTTCAGAGCGCGTTGTTTTTGGCCGGATGTCAGGCGATAGAGAAGTTTCGTCATGATGGATGATTATCGAGTGGGGTTCGTGATCGTGAGGTTCTTGTCATTCCAGTGTACCGGAACGAAATCAACATTATTGGGGTTTCCTTCTAAATGCTCAGATTTAAGATGGTCAGTGCTAACTTTATTTTTAGTTTTGTTTTTATAAGGGATGTAGTATTTAGTACGCTGAAGCATCTTTCACATGCGATATCGAGAGGTCATCGTAAAGAATCACGACGTACGAAAACAAGTGTATTATGTTGTAACCCCTGTTGAACGAAAACATCAGTTGATTACGATCAAGTGGAGACAGGTTTAACTGAACGTTTAACGTTTGTAAGCCTGCTTGTGTAGGAATTTAGATCATTATTCATTGAAGAAAAAAATGGATCCACAAATTCTCCTGAAAGTCAGTGCTTTTGTGTATAGGAGTTGTGCTAGAGTGTATGTCAGCCTTTACTGCATTGCAAATACAGAGCAGCACGATCGGAAAAGCATTAAACTACCGTGAAAAATCCGCAGCTGAAAGTAAAGCTTTTCGTTGTTGGTAAAATCGTTCTACTAACATGCTGGCTTGTGTATGTCCGTTTGTGATCGCGTGTTTACTAGCACTGTAATAAGATAACGTTAAAGCCTAGATTCGAACTGGCATCCACGGTTTGTAATGATAGATGAAGGACAGAAGAAGTCTGCTGCTGAACTATGGCTTGGACCACCATTTCACCAGTAATGTCCTTGAAAAGTAAGCACTTGTTTTTATCATCACTATGTATTTGCTACCGTGCTCGTTTCAAAAAGAGCAGTGATTTTTGTACTTGTTGTGATTATACTTGCTTCGGATACTTATTGCACCAAAATGCATTCTTGGTCTACTTTAACTAAAAGTACTTTGGTTAAAGTTTGAATATTTTTACTAAATTTTGTCCTGAGTACCTTTTTTACTCCTTGACTAACATTTATGTTCATATTGTGATCATTTTGTGTTTTTAAAACTTTTAAATCGAATTACAATGGTTGGTAAGACTCACAAATGTGGGAAACCAAATTGTTTGTTCCCCGTTGAGGAGTTTTAAGTTTTCAAATGACTTTATCGACTGTCTAACTCTAAGATGTCGTCCAAAACATCTGAATAAATACAAATATGTTTATGTTACCAATATCTACGTGACTCCAGATTGCACATCATCTGCACTATTTGTTTTCGCTGATGAATTCACTGAGTTCGCTTTTACTGTTTTTAGTGATTCACTTTCAGTTGTATGTGGTGATTTCAATTCATGTGACTGTAGCTTTCTTACGTCACTAGGTCACCAAAATGTAGTAGATTTTCCTACCCGTTTGGATGCTCATTTAGACTCTGAATTGATCTCGATTTTTGGGATCTGATGGTATCCCAAACATTCTTTTAAAAAATGTGCTGACGTCCTATGTTATCCGTTCACAGCTATCTTTAACAGATCCTTCTCATCTAATCTCATACCGAAAAGGTGGAGAAAGATGAAGATAATTCCTGTACCCAAGGAAGCATCTGGTGATAAGAATGTAAAATGTAAACCTATTACAATAACTTCACCCTTCCTCAAAACAATGGAAAAATTATTAATACTTCCACTTCAGCCTGGGATAAAAGAGCATATTTATCCATATCAATTTACTTACAGACGTAAAAGAAGCACTTTGGATGCTGTTGCTGTCCTGCATCACAACATAGTGTTAAACTTAGAAAAGGGTCAGAAGTATGTTCAATGTGCCTTTCTGGACCATACTCCAGCTTTTGATTCTATACCAAGACAACGTTTAATTAACAAGTTAATCAGCGTCAGCACTGATAGCTGGATAACCAACTGGCTATGTTCCTACCTCTCTGGAAGGGAACAGTACATTGTGTTTGTAGGAAAGTGTTCAGAGTTTCTACTGTCTCATGAAGGTGCACCACAAGGAGCTGTTCTTTCACCTCGTCTTTTCTCTTTTTTTCTGCATGATCTGCCATTTTCCATAGAAAACACTTTTGTGAAATACGCGGATGATCTCACTGTATGTATGCCTATCTCTTCCTCTTTACATCCCATAGAAATAAATGAGATTTTGTCTCGTATTGATTGTTGGTCTGTTGACAATGGTATCACACTTAATCCGTCTAGATGTCAGGTTGTTAACTTTAGCATGAGACATGAACGGAATATAAACACCATTTTGATGTTCCATAATGCTTGTTCCATCGGAGACTCTTTGATAAACACAGTGTCGAAGGTCAATTATCTTGGTGTCACCTTTTCCTCTGATCTCTCTTGGTCGTCCCACGTTTTATTGTTATCAAAGAAGGTTTTCCGTTTGACCTACTACATGTAGAGATTGCATGCTCTTGGAATAACTCGTCATCTACTCTTACAATTTGTGAATTCTTGCATATTACCTATTATTCTTTACTGTTCTCCATTATTCTTTCCCGGGCTTTTGAGGAAAGACTTTGCTGTATTGTGGATAGTGCTGAAGGCAGTTAGCAAGATGTGTGGTGAATCTTTCGAGGTCATAATTAATATGGTTGTGAATAGACATTTAAAATCATGCAAACTCCTGACAGGTGTTATTTTATCACATACCAGCCATCTCCTTCACTCTCATCTTTCTCCTTGTATAGCTCCTGGTAGAACGAGACGTAATTACATTAAAATCTATGCACGCAAGCAAAAGTATAAAAGTTCTATAATATCTTGCCTAGCAAATATACTCTGTGACGAACAGGTTGTTAGAGTTGACCTAGTCAATAACTTGCATCCTCAACATGACCTTAAATTTAAAAGTTGTACAGTTTTCCGGTTTTTTTGAAAAACCTTTTTCATTTTTTTGTATTTGTTACTGTTTTTTGTCGTTGTTGCGTAAATAACTTGTTGAAATAACCTGTGCTGAGAATTCTATATTGTACCAAAATATAATATCGAATAAAGCCATTAATAATAATAATAAATGGGTTTGAGTAAATCATCGTACATACAAACACATAGGTTAGCTTATGCAGCAATCGCCTTTATGTTTGCTGCCTGTAAGTTAAAAACCGGTTCTTCTGGATGATTGTGAGAAGTAGAGCAAAGAACCTTACTTCTGAGCTAGTGTCGATGGGATAGCGAACGTTTTTCATATAACAAATCTCCCACAATCATTTTCGATTGCGGTTAGTTTTGGTTAAGCCCTTCTATTAACTCAACAGCCAATGTTGCTAGAACAGTAACAATTCGCATGTTTCTTTGAACTATTATGGTCAAGGACAACCGACGCACATTAGTGAATCGCACGCTATAAACTGGTCTATGCATCAGCGGTCACATTCTGTTACTCATACACACGCTTTCTAGTAAATTTCTGTAATAACGTCATTTGTGTTGTACAGTCATCAAAGCGGCCATACTATCCGGATACGACGAAAGGACACTCCACGTTAAGCGTTAACTGCGAGGAGTGATGTCCACGTCAGCTGGCTGGACACTCCATTCCCGCCTGACTTAAATGGGCTCCC